GGCCGCTATATCTAGAGGCTGAGTGAAGAGCCCAACCTCATTCTTCAATGTGCAAGTTTGGCGACACGGTGCTGGAGCGCTGGCTACTACAGCGCTACTGGGAGGAAGAAGCCCGGGAGCTTCCACCTTGGCTATGGTGGAGCTCTACCGGTAGGAGGAGGAGGACAAAGAGGACCAGGGAGCAGAGTGGCGAGGTACCTACCTGGCTATGGTGGACACCATCTTCGTCACCTTGTTAGGCACTGCATCTGGAAGGCCCCAAGTTGGGGTAGTGCAGCATCAAGTAAGCTCGGGACAGAGTCAGGCATGGCGGCTGAATGGGCAGCAGCATAGCTGCCTGGTGTTGACGTTGGGACAGGAGGGCAGCGACATTAGCTGCTTTGGGTTGTCCTTTGGACAGGAGGGTAGAGCCCTCAATACTCCACCATAGCCTCGGCCTACATGAAGAGGAAGTGGAAGGGTGGCCATGGCTATGATGGACCTCATGTTGTGCCTGCAGTAGAAGAGGGATTTGGACATTGAATCTGGTTCAGCCATTCAACATCATTATTGTTATTTTTTGTTTGAATAAGAGGGTAGGAGGTAAGGAGGAGGAGATTGGTTGGCGAAGAAGAAGGGCATTATCTTTGGTCTTCTTTCTTTCTTTCTTCTTCTTCTTCTTTCCCTCTCTCTCCTCTCAAGTTCACTCATATTTTTTTGCAATTGGAGGACATTGTACTTTCTGATGAAGGTATACTTCGAAATTGGCCAGGATTGTAACACTATTGGTATTACCTATTTCTCTTATTTAATTTTCTTTTTGTCACTCCGCGGGGGAGGAATCACGATTTAAATCTGAATCATGACTGCAGATTAGCGGCCTAGAATGGCTTGTCCCTTCGCGTTTCGTTGTCTTTGACGCGGCCGACTAGGCACCATATAGTAGGACCCCAAAAAAGGGGCTGCTTTGGTAGGAGGCTTATCACCTCCCATGGAAGGTCATAAGCCCCCTCCTTGCCATTGAACACGGGTACCCGCTGGGAATAGTCTAAAGGTTTTTTTATGGGACTGCAGTTCATAGTACGCCTGGTTGGTAGTCATCACGCTGTGGGACATGATTATTGAAGCAAGACTCCATTTCGGTTTACTCCCTTTATTGAAATTTATTGATATTCAAATAATAATGAGTGAAACTTAAAAGACTACCTGTGTACCCCGTTGTGTACGCAGGGATAGAGGCCCATATTAAACTTATAAAAGACGTAGTTGTTGCATTACTTGCTACTGGCCAGTGGGTGTTCATTGGGAACTTCAGCACTAATGCTGGCAATCTGAGATAGCAGAGCGGAGTGGTAAGGTATTCAAGCGGGGCTCTATTTGTGTGTGTGTGCGCCTGCTGCGGTGTGCAGCTATGGCCTACCGCGACGGGCTGCTACGACTATAGGCCGGATTGTTGGAGGCTCATAACACATTGGTCCTCAATGTATGGGGAGGGCCCTTGGATTACTACTATCCTAAACTACAACGGGGAAGATGAGGCCGAGCTAAAGATTAATGTGGAAGGAGTGAGAGGAAAAGATAACGTCTCATTTATTTGACATATTGATTGTACAAATGAGCAGTTCATACGGTGACTCAAACGGTCGCCCTCTGTCCCATTCGACCTGAATGGTTTACCGGTTCCACCAAATGCTCTCATCCCGAAATGGGATTCCAACTGTCAGGTTGGACGAGAACGCAGATTGCGCTTCAGGTGCCAATAAGACACTAACCCCACCCCCGCGTCCGGGGGGACGCGTGGATGAGCGCATACATAAATAAAATAAGCTGCTTGTTTTGTTGTGGCGGCTGCGTTGACTCTTTTGGGTGAGTTGCATTCTTAGCTCAGCTGGATAGAGCAACAACCTTCATTCAGTCATTTCATTTCGGTTGAATTCTTGGATCTTCTTTCTAAACATTGTTACTTTTTTATTCAGTCTTTTAGGTACTTTTTTTGTTCGTTCGGGATTACTTGCATCTGTTCATAGCTTTGCCACAGATTCGCAACGAGGAATCTTTTTATTAAGTTTTTTTTTTATGGCAAGCCTATCTTTGGTTCTTTGAAAAAAGAAAAGAACAACTCGCGCCTACGATCACCTATCTGAAATCGAACAGATTCTCATTAGTTTAGGTTTAGGAATGATTTTGTATACCATGTTTGTATGGTGGCGTGATGTAATACGTGAATCCACCTACGAAGGATATGATACATCAGTGGTTCAAGTGGGACTTCGTTATGGTATGATTTTGTTCATTGTGTCAGAAGTAATGTTTTTTGTAGCTTTTTTTTGGGCTTTCTTTCATTCAAGTCTGGCGCCTACCGTAGAAATTGGAGCTATTTGGCCTCCGAACTTCAGTGTTCGAACTAATTCCATTTTTCCTCTCGTCGAAGAGTTGTCCATAGTGACACGTGGAACGGCTAACAATCTGGCGTGTAAACTTTGTGCCAGTCTTGTCTGAAGTGCACGCATCTTACCATAATTCTTTGAAAGCGAGGCCTTGTAAATCCTGGTCTGGAATTTGAAGACAAAACTCTCGACTGAAATAGGTTAGGACTTTCCCGCATATAGTGAAGTAATAAGGTCAGAGATTACTCGTCTGACACGGCAATGAGTTAACCACTTTCATCGGCGAACAACCGAACCCTTGGAACCTCGACCTTCCACCATTACTGATGGGGTAAGACTATGCCTTCACCATATTCACTACAGTCACCTAAGAGAGAATCTGTGCGTGTGCCTTGTGCAGTCTGTGTGATAGGCAGCATGTCGTACTAATCACTACAGGCGCTAGAGAATGGGGAGAAGCCAGCTCAGGGAGGCAGGAGAAACGAGACCCCTAGGCGGATACAGATTGCGCACGCTACCATGATCAAAAGAGAAAGGGGAAAATCAGTGGGCGCCAGAGATGTCAGAAAGAGGGTTTGCTCACCTTGTTTGTTTGACGCTGCTCGCCTGGGGCATGTGTCCTCTGCCAAATGTCGACTCACATCTTATCCTTCCAATGATTGAGGGTAACCCACACGCATGGGTTGAACATCAGCAAACGAGGGAAGTCGTCGCCGCAGAGTTTTAGAGCGAGCAGAGGAGAGTGACCCTCGCATTCTATACGGTTGACGGCACCTGTGTTCAAAGGAGATCAGTAGTGAGCTTCGCATTCTATACGGTTGACGTCACCTGTGTTCAAAGGAGATCAGTAGTGAGCTTTGTACCTGCTGAAGGACAATGAGGACTAGATATGACCAACGGGGTGTTAGCCTGGGGAAGTACGTAATACAGGACGGGAAGTAGGCATGTAACCTCCAGCCGGATTTTTGTGGAGGGTGCACGAGGTGCCGAAGAGGTCGATGTGCTTCATTCCTCGTTTCTTGGCACGATCAGTCGGAGAGCTCCGACATGAGGAACTCGTCTGCTGATGTCTCCGACATAAGGAACGCGTCTGCTGATGTCACCCCCCTCCCACTCTGGGTGTAAATTGCGGTACAACAACTGAAGTAACAAGATACTAGTGTCAGTTACGGGTTGTAGCAAGTGACATGCACGAGAGACCCTCAACTACTTATGTGCGTAGCTCGTCATTCACCGATTGACTTTGAGGCAATAAGGGTGGATTCGCCATGCTGTCGGAGGGCGAGGTGTCTCGGCCCTCCGCTGTGTACCAGACGCCTGCTCATGTACCTCCGCTGAGTGTCAGACGCGTGATCAGGGAAACCTCGCTACGTACCAGTCGCTTGCCCAGGAACCTCCGTGGTGTACCAAGCTCTTTGCCCATGGATTTCTATGGCGTACCAGGCAGACTCGATTGGTTTGTACTTTGTTGTGGACTGGTCCTGTCGACGCGTGCCCTGGCAAAAGAAGGGGGTGCGCCACAAGACTTTCCATTGGTCCACGCAGGCTCGACGCCCTGCTGTACAACAGAGCACAACCGGCATGTGGCCGTGGTAGCCGTCGGGCTCGCCCAGGGACCCGGAAGGGGGGTGGGCAAGTATAACGTAGTTGCGGACGCTCTGAGTAGGAGATCAGACTACTTTGGAGCCATAGTACACTATCTGGATATAGGGAGAGACCTGCAGGAGAAAGTGTAGCAAGGGTATGTGCAGGACCCTATCTATAGCAACCTCCTAAAGAGAGTTAGAGAGGCCCCAGAGAGTGAGCCAGATTACCGCACTACAGACGGGTTACTGTTTGAGAAGACTAACGTATTTGACCGCTTGTGTGTTCCCAACAACGAAGTGATTTGTAGTTTGATCTTAGGGGAATGCCACGATATTGAGGGACATTTCGGTTGGCAAAAGACTTTATAACCTGATGCGTGTGTATACATGGCCAGGAATGAAGAACGATTGTATAGAGTACGTCCGCAGTTGTAAAGTATGCCAGCGTAATAAGATTACTATGCGTGCACCTCTTGGTCTTCTCAAACCCTTGCCTATTCCGGATCAGCCGGGAGACTCAGTGTCCATAGACTTTATGGACACCCGAGTCAAGAGCAGACATGGTAAGAGCCAAGTCATGGTCGTAGTTGACCGATTTAGTGTCAGCCGGGAGACTCAGTGTCCATAGACTTCATGGACACCCAAGTCGAGAGCGGACATGGTAAGAGCAAGTCATGATCATAGTTGACCGATTTAGTAAGTACACAATTTTTATTCCTTTGCCTGCAGAGATACGCACAGATCTAGTAATACAGAAGTTCTTTGACTCTTGGGTTAGTGAGCATGGAATCGCATTGTCAATAGTTAACGATAGAGATAGTCGTTTCACCAACGAGAACTGGCAGGAACTCATGAGAGTCTACGGTCATCCAGAGATTGAACGATAGAGATAGTCGTTTCAACAACGAGAACTGGCAGAAACTCATTGACAGAAGTTCTTTGACTTTTGTTAATGTCGTCTGGCCGCCGTCCAGAGACTAATGGTCAGACTGAACGGATGAACAAGATCCTACAATAAGTTTTGCGCATGTACATTAGACCCGATCAGATCAACTGGGCCGAGATGTTGCCCAAAGTAGCTAGCGCATACAACAACAGCGTGCATTTGTCCACCTGTCGCACTCCCAATGAGCTGCACAAGTCCTTTAGGCGGCGTAGACCATTCGAAGGATTGAACCGGGACCAGATTCACAGACTACCGCCCAACACTAGGGAGTTTGCGATACAGCATGAGAAGGAATTAGCAACTATTGTTGAGAACCTCAGGAAGGCCCTGCATAGAATGATAGAGCAGGCTAATAAGCACTGCCGCCCGTTGCAGTTTCAGATAGGCGACTTAGTTTGGGTCAAGGCTAAAGAGTTTGCACCTGAGGAAAACATCTTGCAGAAGTTACTGCCTGCATATAGAGGATCGTGGCTGGTTCTAGAAGTCAAGGGCGAAGAGGATGGACCGTCCTACACTATAGAGATCCCAGTACACCTCCACGCATATCCTGTGTTCCAGGCTTCAAAGCTGTTGTCGTGTGTCACAAGCCAACAGTTCCCTTCAAGACGATCTATGATCTCTCCGGATATGGACGGAAGTTATGACATTGAAGGTATTGTAGACGAGGATGTGTTTAGAACAGGAGGTAGAGGTCGTCCCCAGAAGCAGTATAAGGTTCGGTTTGCCTATCAGGAATCGGAAGACGACCGCTGGTTCACAAGAAGAGAACTTCTAGAAACAACTCCCGACATAGTCAGGGCCTATGAGCGTGATAAGAAAGGTAAAGGTCCTGCCTTGGACTGAAATATTCTCGAAGGACCTTGAATTTAGGACGGTGGGAGTGAAACGGTTTTCACCTTTTTGCAGAAGCAGATGCGTATCCCAGGGTTCGATCCCTAGACCTCACCCTACCCATGTACAATATCCGTGTAGACCTGAGAGTTGAACGTGTGACCTGTGTATTCGTAGACAGTTGGTAGGTCTGTTATAGGTCCGTAGGTAGCAGGGGTTCGATCTGTAGGTCTATAGAGTAGAAGTCTTAGTGAGTTCCAGAAGCTTAGCTGTAGTCCTTCTAGAAGGTCGGCAAGTGGGCAAGTTGTCAAGTGGCGAGGCAAGTGGTGGACTAAACTTCAGTGCAATCGCAGTACGACCTCGGTAGGATAGCAGTGAGTCCACAGTCAGTCAGCGGTAAGGACCAGTCAGTCCTAGTTCGGTCCAACAAGTACCACGGGGGACTGTGAGCACCATGGGCCGATGGCAAAGGGCAGACCAACGAGTTTCTGAAGTATAAATCAAGAGGCAGCGCCCAACCTTTCATCCATTTCTGCGTGAGCCATGTGGAAGCGCTGCCACAGCGACTTGTGCAAGGAGGTCTGCAGTGAGCCCGGAGGACGCAGTGGGCGAGAGAGGAGCTCAGTATAGCGATAGGGTAGAGGCAGCCATAGGTGCCATAGCTGTAGTGAGTGTGAAGTGTGTGTGTATGTGTGAGTGCTCAGAGTGACGCGTGTGGGATATCCACAGTAATCCAGTGTATGTGAACAGTGAGTTGTTTGGGCGCTGAGTCGCTCAGCCAATTGGAAGTGAACTCGTAGCTGGATACCATATCTCTGAGTTTTGAGTGGGCGCATGTCGCCAGTTTGCTGCGTTGCTGTTTACATGCATGAAAAGTGTGAATGAGAACGAGTCTGATTGCAGAGTTTGCTAAAAGTGGAAAAATGAAATTACGGTTTGTATCAACTTATAGTTTTGTAGGAAAATAGCTACTGGGTCAAAGAGAGAGTATAAGCCCAAGGATGTGAAGAAAAACCTGGTGGCTGTTTTGATAGAAAAGGATTATTATGAAGACTTGAGAAAAGAATGGAGGATTATCAAAGCATCAAGGAAATCAACGAAATTGGGAAACAGAGTCACTAGGGAAAAATTGGCATCGTGAAGATTGGTTCAGATCAGTCTATTTGACCTTAAGAAAAAGAATATATTTTTATGGTGTGTAAAGAGTTCTCTGATGCGGTATCATTTAATGATGAAGAGAGGGAGGTTGGATGTGGATATGATCAAGAAGGCAAAAATATGAACTATTGATCATATTCGTTGGAATGATAGACCGATCGAGTATGCTTCGAAGCAGTGTTGTCCCCGGGGCCCAAGTCAGGGTGGGGGTTTCATCCCAGCAACCCCGCCGCGGGGATCCTCGACCCCCGGCCCCTCCAAATTACCCCCGCACGTGCC